TGAAAACGACTAAAGAGAGAGCCATTTTAAACAGATATATTTTCTTGGTCTTGCACACCATTGGTCAAAGAAGTGCTGCTGCCATTGGGTAAATTAGGGCCCACGTTTAACTGCCTCTTGTAACTTAGCGTTTGAGTGTAAGTCTGTTGAAATAACATTTTCCCTGGGGAAAGAGATATGGTGAAACGGCACTGCGGAGCTGACTTATCCTGTCCTCTGTATTGCCTCTGACATCTTCATCCTCTTCCCCGGCTGTGCCTTGTCGCGTTTACGACGAAGCCAGCCATCACTGTTGATGTCCCATAATTATTGCTGAAGAATATCATCGTGTCGAGGGTGATCAAACACAACGGCGCCTTTATTTTCATGTCAACATTAACATTTTTGATCAAATGTTCACGTATACCACACTGAGAGGTATTTATTTTAGTTTCTTATCAGGTAATACATGTCGTGCTCACTAAAATTCCCATCTTACCATATGCACTGTACAGAAGTATGTGTCTCTACTAATAAAACATCATGAAATACATTTTAAAAATAAATGTATACTTAGATTTGCACAAACCCATCTAAGAGCTACATAGCAAAAGATTCTGATATACAGGAGACACCAATACGAGCTTCTGAGCACGACGATTGATAGATGTATTTATTACTTGTTGTTATTTAAGCTGAATAAGGAGATGTCTGGGTCATACTTGCATGTAAAAAAGTGCATAAAACAGCAAAATGTAACAAATAATACGAGCAATTTAAAATTACAACAGCGCGCATCCTCATACATATAACTAGAAACTGTATTGAAAATATAAAAAGTGAATACACTTTTGGCGATGGCTTTCATTGGGCATCGTTCATACGAGGAGTCGATGATTCCGGTTAATTAGCGGAGGGTGGCAGATAGTGGGGCTGAACCCGATTAATTATTAACTCAAGCTGACATCGTTTCACGGAGACAAGCAGTGGCAGGGGAAATTAATCCCTGGCGGATTTTTGTTTTAAAACAAAACATAAAAAAATCCTCACTGTGCAATCGGCTTCGTGTCCGGTGTCACGAGATGTCCGGATCTCCCATCAGAGGGGCGCAGCTGTGTTAGGGAAATCCCACCGAAGATGCTATCAACAAAACTACTTCTGAGATCCCTTCAAGTGACCTCTTATCCACACACTAGGGGGGAGGGGGCGCAGCATTTCCCCAACCTGCTACGAATAATAAAGTTAATGCATCCGATAATGGTCAAACTAATATTTTCTATTCTCTTAGCAGGAATTAGCCACATTTATTCCAAAATCACTCGTAATGTGATGAGTTCCCTGCAATCATCGGTGACCAGGCTGAGACCATGAACCCACAGCAATTGATAACCCGGTTGAATCACGGCTAACCAGAGCCCAGATTTGAACCCGGGAAGTTGGTGGTACCAGCTCAGCGCTCTCTGGCCATCAGGCCGCACGGCCACCTCGGAATTCCTGGCGATTTTACGTGGCTGCCGTTGGCACCCGAACCGTCCTCCCGGCTGCAAACGATTCTTCCTTCCGCACACATGCACGCACACCCAGCCACGGAGGTCGGCTGTGCCGCTCTCTCCTCCTCCCTGCCAATGAATCCACTCACACGCAAGCGGTCGCCATCCAAAGGCAGCGCCATACAATCAACAACAAAAACAGAATGAAATCTCAGCGAGCCAGCTGTGTGCGGCTATTTATTATTTATTTGTTTGCCGGCTCTTAGGTGGCAACCTGTGGCAGAATGACGTGTACTGGAGGCTGTCTCCGTGCGTGCGTGCGGTTTCTCTTGGTTAGATCCATTATGTTATCGATCCTCATTGTGCAGAGGGAGGGACGCGATTGTGCTGTGTCTGTTTGTGTTAGAGCACACTAGCACAGGTCTTCTTCTTTTGTTTGGGTATGAATTGAGACCCAACTATAAATCATATGTCCACGTTTCTACATCAGGCTGCTGGCTTGAGAGCAGAGCGAGTGAATGCCACTCGTGCCCTCGGTGAACGCTAGCAGTGGACACGAATTTGCACAGAGACCGATCAACTCACACAGAGACCCACTGACTCGCACCGAGACCCACTGACTCGCATTAAGGCCCACAGACTCGCACAAAGGACCCACAGACTCGCACAGAGACCCACAGACTCGCATGAAGACCCACAGACTCGCATGAAGACCCACAGACTCACATGAAGACCTACAGACTCGCATGAAGACCCACAGACTCGCACAGAGACTCACTGACTCGCACAGAGACCCATTAGCGTGCAGTGGACATGACCTCATGATGTAATCCATTGTTTATTGCTATTTTCCACAGTCGCATTTGGGTGGTTCTTTTATATATTTTTTCCATTTGTGGAAAAGGTGATTGCACCTGGCGTGGCCGGTTCGAATCCGATTTAAGGCAGCCCGTCGCTCACGAGGCAGTGAGCATCCTGATGGCCCGATGAGCACCGGAGAAACCATGCTGATGATTTCCTCGAGGTCAAAGTGTATATATCTGTAGCTACAATTTAGCGATATGTGCTTCCGTCTCCACAAGTGTACGAGGAAGGAGACGAATTGGCTTTTGGGACAAGGCGGGAAGTCGGATGGGACTTCCGTCGTGTAGAAATCGCCTGTGAGGCTAGATAAGTTGAATTGAACCATTAAGAAAATAATCGTGTTAATGATGGCAATAATTACAAGCACGGTCCGCTTTTATAGAGCGTCTTAATATGACTGTGTCTCAGTATTCGGTACAAACAGGGAGACGTTTTTTTTTATTGCGTTCTGACCACAAGTATTGTGGTTAATGCAGACATATTTCCTTGTCAAAGGTTTCAGTTTGGTGTTTTAACAACTTAACGCCTGTTTTGTTGCCAGAAAAAAGGGGAAAAACCTATTCTAAAGGAAAATAAGGTTTTTGTAAGGTGGTGAGTTAGAGAAGGCCACGGGACAGATAATGGAGATGTCTGTATGGTGTATGTATGTTGAACTTCTTTTGCACCGTACGTTACCAACCGTGCTAAACGTATGGTAAGTCGTAAGGTGCCATCGAAGACACTTCACAAAGAATGCACAGGTGGTCATAGAGTGGAAGAGGAATAAAGGAGTCTGCCGAGAATACCAATGGAATGGAAGCCATGGAATGCTACACGTCCGAGGGCACGTCCACCGAAGAGATGCCGCTGATGGCATCGGCTCGCGGTTGAGTGCTGGGTGGATCGTTACATCGCGAGGCCTTAAAGGACGGGGACAGCTTGGGGAGGGCCTTCATCCAGCAGTGGATTGATTACGGGTGGTGATGATGATGACGATTGAGTCATCAGTGTGGATGGTTTGGGGGTTTGGGAGATAGCTGATATCTCTACAACGTTTTCCTACACACAGCGCTTGCGAACAGAAGCACATTTTTGGATTCACGTTAGACACATTTCCACGGCTCAAAACTAATTTTTCAGTTTTGGCGATCGCCCGCAGATTGTGGTTTTGATTACAGCATTTCCTTTTTATTTACGAAGGCAGTTTCCAAAACAACATTCTGGCATGCGATTGTTTGAATACCGGCCAGAGTTTGTGTTGTTGTTGTTTAATCAGTACCTAGTGCTCACAGAGCAGCCAGATCTCTAAATATCTAGAGGCTTGAAATGCAAAATTACCAGCTGCGTTTTAAGCTTCTTGCAAATAGCAGGGAGAAGTAGTTGAGAAAAGCGAAATTTAAGTTGACTTGACAAGGAGGGGGGAAAAAACCCGCCAACCAGCTTCGATTTTATTGACTCAAATTTAGAAGACACCATGTGTCATTTATGAAATGTCAGCTCAGAAATAAAAATTATTACTCGCACACAACATGACTGCTTAGCTCGCTTTGCATTGACATTTTAGATTTTATGTATTTGCCTCCTATTAGTGCTGCACTAATGGAATTTTAGTGCGTCAATTGTGCTTTCATTTATCTTTGACATTTTCATTAGATCTGCCTCCACACGTCATACTTCTATCAGTGTTCTCATCTTTTAAAACGGCGCTTTCTGTGCAAATGTGGAATATTAAATACGTGTATTTGTTCCATACAACCGCTGTAAAAACCTCCCTTCCCATGTAAGATGCTCGGCCGTTTTTTTGGCCGGATCGCCATTGAATCAGAGCGTCTTAGCTTAATGGGCCTTACCCAAAAAACGACTTGACTGACTGACATGTGACCACACGTTGGTTTTGTGCAGGGCCCTTTACAAAAATCGGAGAAGTCGTTAATTCCTGACAATGTTATACGTCACAGGAAAGCTTTTCAAAATAAATGTGCGCTACGCAATAGTAAACCCTATCGGAGGGCAGCTAGGTCATAGCACTCTTTCTTTGGGCTATTAGCTGTAAACAAAAATAAGAGGTCGCGATTGTCACATTAGCCTTTACGGACTGACCATAGATCCATAGATGTGGTCAGGTGCCTCAGAGGGCTTGTGCCATGTCAGAGATTTGAGCTTTCACCACTGGGAGCCTGGGTTTGTATCTAGGTGTTGTTGGCCTGGTCACCAATGGCTGCACACACAATTATGCAAACGTGTCTTTATCGTATGCAATTGACTTGAATCGGCGTGTCCCAGCTCTGAGAAACATAACGTTTGGCTTAATTGATTTGTGACACACACTCATGCAGGACGTGTCAAAGATATTGCTCCTCGTGTGGACAAGGAAGCATGTTGAAGTGACTTCAGAAAGTTGTCCTGAGATGTTATCTGCCAGGGCTGTTCTCTGACACAACGCTGATGAACTGCTGGCTGTGAAGATCCTCACGAAGCTTTCTTCACTGTATGACAAGACGCTGTTAACACTATTGGGGGAACACAAAACGTACGGATCGGTGCGTTCAAAGAGTTTCTTGGGCCTCGCCGAAAAAACTCGGCACGTTGGCTCCTGTGATGAATATTTTGTTTTTTTGTTCTGCCCCCCCGTGAGGCCTTGGTTGTTATTGTGCGCAATCAATCGTCCGTTTGTTGTTTTGTTCCCAGCGCCTGACAGCACTGCTGGAGTGATTGCGAAGACCATCGAGATAACGCTGTACAAGGAAGGCAACAGCTTTGGCTTCGTCATCAGAGGCAAGTGTTCGTTCTCCCTCCGAGAAGGTCGTGTGAGGCCACTGGAGATGATGTGGCTCAGGGGGGCATGCACGGCCTAATGCGCACCGCTTTGAAGATGGTAACTGAGGAGTGGTGACACGGCCGTGCTCTCGCAGCGTTTTCCGCTTGTTCCAAAGGTTGGCGGTTCAATCTCGGTGGCCAACCTTTGGTTAATACCGTGGGTTCATTAACCGTACATACGTGCAACCTGGCTCACCGTGCACGTTTGAGAGCCCGTGATTGTCATACTAAAACGAGAGATGGCCCGTACGTGCACAGGTGTTATGGTCCTAATTTGCGAAATTTGGAAGAAAAATATACAGTGAGGGAAAAAAGTATTTGATCCCCTGCTGATTTTGTACGTTTGCCCACTGACAAAGAAATGATCAGTCTATAATTTTAATGGTAGGTTTATTTGAACAGTGAGAGACAGAATAACAACAACAAAATCCAGAAAAATGCATGTCAAAAATGTTATGAATTGATTTGCATTTTAATGAGGGAAATAAGTATTTGACCCCTCTGCAAAACATGACTTAGTACTTGGTGGCAAAACCCTTGTTGGCCATGACAGAGGTCAGACGTTTCTTGTAGTTGGCCACCAGGTTTGCACACATCTCAGGAGGGATTTTGTCCCACTTTTTGCAGATCTTCTCCAAGTCATTAAGGTTTCGAGGCTGACGTTTGGCAACTCGAACCTTCAGCTCCCTCCACAGATTTTCTATGGGATTAAGGTCTGGAGACTGGCTAGGCCACTCCAGGACCTAAATGTGCTTCTTCTTGAGCCACTCCTTTGATGCCTTGGTCGTGTGTTTTGGGTCATTGTCATGCTGGAATACCCATCCACGACCCATTTTCAATGCCCTGGCAGAGGGAAGGAGGTTTTCACCCAAGATTTGACGGTACATGGCCCCGTCCATCGTGCCTTTGATGCGGTGAAGTTGTCCTGTCCCCTTAGCAGAAAAACACCCCCAAAGCATAATGTTTCCACCTCCATGTTTGACGGTGGGGATGGTGTTCTTGGGGTCATAGGCAGCATTCCTCCTCCTCCAAACACGGCGAGTTGAGTTGATGCCAACGAGCTCCATTTTGGTATCATCTGACCACAACACTTTCACCCAGTTGTTCTCTGAATCATTCAGATGTTCATTGTCAAACTTCAGACGGGCATGTATATGTGCTTTCTTGAGCAGGGGGACCTTGCGGGCGCTGCAGGATTTCAGTCCTTCACGGCGTAGTGTGTTACCAATTGTTTTCTTGGTGACTATGGTCCTAGCTGCCTTGAGATCATTGACAAGATCCTCCCGTGTAGTTCTGGGCTGATTCCTCATCGTTCTCATGATCATTGCAACTCCACGAGGTGATATCTTGGATGGAGCCCCGGGCCGAGGGAGATTGACAGTTTTTTTGTGTTTCTTCCATTTGCGAATAATCGCAAATGGAGACTAGGCTCTAAGAAAAGCCGTCCCGGGTGTGGACCAATCAAATTCAAGGACAGTGCATATTATTATCAGAGTTGTCTCTTTTGTTTGCATTTTGACTGCTTGTGTTGTGGTTATTGCAAACATGATGCCTTGAATAAAGGTGTCAGTTTTTGTGCCAGTTAAAAGGGTAAAACCTATTACTATAATCGCACCGACTGTTGTCACCTTCTCACCAAGCTGCTTGGCAATGGTCTTGTAGCCCATTCCAGCCTTGTGTAGGTCTACAATCTTGACCCTGACATCCTTGGAGAGCTCTTTGGTCTTGGCCATGGTGGAGAGTTTGGAATCTGATTGATTGATTGCTTCTGTGGACAGGTGCCTTTTATACAGGTAACAAGCTGAGATTAGGAGCACTCCCTTTAAGAGTGTGCTCCTAATCTCAGCTCGTTACCTGTATAAAAGACACCTGGGAGCCAGAAATCTTTCTGATTGAGAGGGGGTCAAATACTTATTTCCCTCATTAAAATGCAAATCAATTTATAACATTTTTGACATGCGTTTTTCTGGATTGTTTTGTTATTCTCTCTCACTGTTCAAATAAACATACCATTAAAATTATAGACTGATCATTTCTTTGTCAGTGGGAAAAGTACAAAATCAGCAGGGGATGATATACTTTTTTCCCTCACTGTAAACGCATAGCAAAATTGCTCTCTGCTGTGAAACTTCTACAGATTATACCCATCTTTGCAACATAGTTTTATGATAGCTTTGTGCTGAACATGTTTTCATGCTCTACTATCCGTAGATGCTGCTCTCTTATATTTACTGTCTGGGGACTAGCATTCTGGCCGTAGCTGCTTTATCTTACCTAATAGTGGCTTGTTTTGGCCCATGCAAGAATCGCTGATAGAGCCTTGTGTACCCTTTGACCTAATCTTGTCGCAGCCTTAATTGCTACGGATAATGTAAGTAACATTCAGCATATTTTTCGACTGTACAGTAAATCACCCACGTTGGTCCTGTCGTGCGTACATCGCCCGTGGCACTGGCAAAATATATCCCCTTGGGCCACTTGGCTGCTCTGATGGAGGGGTCAGGCCCTGTTTTCAATTTCTCTGTTTCACTTTTAAGCTCAAGCTGCACCTTTGAACCAACCCATACCCCTCCCTCTCTTGCTGAAGTCCTCGATGACAGTGGTTGTTCAAGGGGCGTCGTGTTGTGGTATAACTCGGTGTTGTGGTATAACTCGGTGTTGTGGTATAACTCGGTGTTGTGGTATAACTCGGTGTTGTGGTATAACTCGGTGTTGTGGTATAACTCGGTGTTGTGGTATAACTCGGTGTTGTGGTATAACTCGGTGTTGTGGTATAACTCGGTGTTGTGGTATGACTCGGTGGGACAGGTGGCGCCCATGAACAGAGGCACAAGTCGAGACCCATCCTCGTGACGTGCGTAAGACCGGGCGGTCCTGCCGACCGGTGAGTTGGCGTCACACACACCGTCACACACCGTCACACACCGTCACGTGAACTCCAGTCATCCTCGCAGCAGCAGCGGCTTGTGGCTGCCCATCGAACAAAGACGGTCGCTGCATCACGCGCTTCCAGATGCGCTTCTGCAGATTTCTGGAACCCTCTCCTTCTGAATATTAGGAAGCCCACTGGAGCTATGCCTTTTAAATCATAATCGAGATTGAAAACTAATTTCTTTAGAACTGCTTTTTGTGTTTAGTTTGTTGTCCTTCCCCCGCACCTCCGATTAGCATGGTTGGCTACGTACGGCGCGAAAGAAGTTCGACGTACATATAGAGTGGTCGCCACCTTTTCGACTTCAGACCAAATGCAGATGTCTTTCTCAGTCAGCCAAGGTCGGTTATCAAAGCTGTGCAGTATAGGAGAGCATACGGTCAGAAAATTCAACGAATCAGAATCTTTATTTAGACTGGAGGAGGAATACGATGAGCTGTGGAGCTCTTGTTCACCAATGTCCCATAGGGGCAGGTCGGCAAGTTACATTACCACCACCAGATCTCGGTTACAAATCAATTTCTGCCACCCGAACACGGATGCCAATTCCCAGACTTTCCGGGTTAAACCCCGACCAGGCGGTAACCGTACACACACACACCTCGCCAGCGGAACATGTCTATCCATTGTATGATGTTTGAACTGGCCTCTTGTCTCCCATCAGGCTGTTGTAAATGGTAGATCGGATATTACGCTGAAATATTGGGTCAAAGGTCGAGTGTGTTAGTAGTTTTGGCCTAATTTACATATATTACATATTGTAAGCCTTCAAATGACCCCACATTCCTTGAAATTGGTGGAGCAGCCTAGTAGGATGCTCATACATACATACGTGCATTTAAAGATAGCTGTACAGGTTAGTTGATTATATTTAAATTAAATTAAATACATTTTAAAAGGTTGTCTGTCCACATATTCTTCTATCAGTTTATCACAAACCATCCTGACCAATGCTTTCCAGCAGTTCAAGCAGCTTGTGACCCTCTGAAAAGGCTCCATAGTCATCTACGTTAAAATAAAATGCAGAAAATAATCTCATAAAAAAGAATCCCCCTCTCACATGTACAACGGGATACGGTGTGTAATTTATGGAAACAAACCTGCAATAATCTACAGTTTCCGCTAATTTCCACGGGCGGTTTACCGGACGACGTAGCGGAACCGCGAAAAAAGCTGCGACTTTAATAAGGATCGTTACTGGATTGGCGTTTAGGCGCTGCTAATGGACTGGTAATTATCTCGTCCGTAATTGATTTTTGGGCAACTAAAAAGAAAGCCGCCGCCGCCACGTGATTTCCCTCCTCCTGTGCCGCCGCTCCCCCATCGCCGCCGCCACCGCAGGGAAGGCACGCTGAAGGCGGGCGACCGGCTTCTGAATGTGGACGGCATGAGCCTGCACGGCGTGTCGCACGCCGAGGCGCTGGCGATCCTGCGCGAGTGCGGCCAGGAGGCCACGCTGCAGATCGAGTACGACGTCTCCATCATGGGTACGGGGGGGGCGAGCGCGTTCTGTGCCTGCGTACGTTGGGCTTCTTTCGCACCGTGCGTCGCGAACTGTGCTCCATCGGAGGTTCTCCGGTGGTGCCAACAATAACAACAACTAAACGACAACAACGGTGGTGTTAGCACGGTTGCCTACGTACGGTGCGAAGGAAGTTCTAAATACGTACGTGCAGCGGTGGACTGTGTTTACATAGGGTGTGCAGGTTTGCATGTTTTGCCACAAGTATGTGTGGTTAATACAGACTTGATGCCTGAAAATTGGTATATTTTTGGTGTTTGAACATCTTAATACCTGATTTATTGCCAGAAAGGGTGAAGGCCAAATGTTATATTTTCATCATTTTGATGCTGCCAAAAAAGGTCCCAAAATGATTTTTTTAATCGGAAATGACAGCACGGGCAGTGCTCCCCAGCCCCGGACACTGCCCACCAGAAGGGAGAGTTCCTCACCCACCACTGAGTGTTGTGTGTCTCAGACTCCGTGACCAATGCCTCGGGGCCGCTGCTGGTAGAGGTGGCCAAGACACCAGGCAGCAGCCTGGGAGTGTCTCTGAGCAGCCCTGGGCACCTCCACAAGCCGACCATCATCATCGACAAGATCCGCCCAGCCAGTGTGGCCGAGAGGTACGTGCATCCGTGTGTCTGTGTGTCTCTGTGTGTGTATGAGCGGTAGTGTAGCGGTTAGGGCCTCTGCGCTACGAACCCGGCGACCCGAGTTTGATTGCCGCTCACGGCCAACACCAGTGACGATTATATGAATCGGTCCTGGGCCTCACCTAAGTCGACTTGACCTCAAATGGGTACGTGTTGCAGTGTGTAACCATCACCACACCACCAGGGTGTGGTGTTGGCCACCCACTCCCTCGTGTGCCGTGTCGGCCTTCATAGGTGCTCGATAACAGCACTTACCCCAAACAGTCTGTTAAGGCTATAGGGGTATCTTTGTCTTTGTGTATGTATGTCAGCAGTGGGGAGCGGTAGCAAAGAGGTAAGTGCGCTACTTTCACACCGTTCGTAGCCAACTGTGCTCATCGTACGTGAAACTCAACTTTTTCTTTTACCATGTAAGGCCCACTGGGCTATATGGCTCTTTAATAGAAGTGACCTGGCCAAAAATGGTAGCTTAACGAAGTGGCTTATGACGTGGAAATCATAGCAGTCAGATACTCTAGACGCATGCTGCTAAATGTGGAGGGAAAAACCCGAGCATCCAGATAAAAATCTACGCCAACACAGGGAAAGAGAAAACTCTCAAACTCACGACCTCCTGCATACCGGGCGAGGTAGTTAACATCTCGCCACCGTGGCGCCCCCCATGTACGTAGAACAACAGTCTGAAAAGCGATGCCGCTGAACGACGTCTCGCTCGCCCACGCTCGTCCCTCCGTGCCCTCTGCGCCGCTGGCACCCGCAGGTGCGGCGCCCTGCACGCGGGCGACCAGATCCTGTCCATCGACGGCACGGGCATGGAGCACTGCTCGCTGCTGGAGGCCACCCAGCTGCTGGCGAGCGCCACGGACAACGTGCGCCTCGAGATCCTGCCCATCCGGCAGGCGCGCCTCGCGCTCAAGGGGCCCGAGCAAGGTGAGAGGCGGGGTGGGCACGTGGGTGGACGTGCGGACGAAAGCTCGAACGGACGGACTGATGAATGGGCACGTGGACAGGCACGCGGGTTGACGGATGGACACAAATTGATGGACACACAGAGCGACACTTGCAGAGGTGGAGAGGTAGACCGATGGATGGGCACACGGATACACGGACATACACGCGGATTGACAGACGTACATGAAGATAGATGGACACACACAGAGACGCATGGATAGATAGAGAGATAGGTGGACACATGGACAGACATGCAAATTGGCAAACAGAAATACGGATTGATGGACACACAGACACGTGGATAGATAGATGGACAGATGAATGGATGGGCACATGAACATAGACACACAGATAGACAGATAGACAGATGGATTGACACATGGACAGACACATGGATTGATAAATGGACATAGAGATGGATGGACACACAGCCACACATGGATTGAAGTACAAATGGATACAGGGACACATGAACAGACAAAACATCTGATGAACATGTGGACGGACTTGCATTTGGATGGACAGACACACAGATGGACCGATAGCTGCATAGATGGACGCATGCATAGACAGACAGACAGATACGGACAGACAGACACAAACGGAAACAAAACTGCGTGTTGCAGGATACAACGCAGCGGTCTCTCAAAGCGTATATTTTCAAGTTGGCCTCTCAACTTTCATTTCCCTTTCTCACTCTCTGCAAACGTCTGCCTTCGCTCGTCCTGCATCTCGGCTCTAAGGCCGCCTTTTCTCACTGTCCCCCCTCCCTCTTCCATTTCCTCTTCCTCTTCCTCACCGCCCCCTTTACCCCCCACTCCTTTCCACGCCCTCAACCCTTCCTCCGCCGCTCCTCTCTCCACTCTGTTCGGGGGAGCGGCTGCAGTGAAGGTGCAAAAGAGTGAGAGGCACCTTTCTTGGGACCCACGGGCCTCCCACTTCCACACCTACCACCCAGGTGACGGCCGAGTGAGGGAGCGCCTTCCTCCTCCTCCTCCTCCCCCGTCCCACCAACTGCACTCCAGTAAATGCCCTCCTCTGCCTTACTCTCGCCTGCTCTTCACTGTCGCTTTGCACTCTCATACGAAATGTCTGACTCTGTTCAGAGTTGTTGTTGTTGTTGTCTTCTACCCCGCCTAAATTGTATCCTGATCGGAGCTATCGGTGTCATGGGCTCAGATGAATACTAACCCATTCGGGACCCTTCGTGTTGGAGAACGGTCTGCTGAAGTGTCCGTCGCGGAAGTAGATCTGAGATCCCTTCCCCCAGGGTCGCCCCTTTGCAAAAGAGGCGATCTTTTCACGTGCCTCACTGGCTGTATTACCATCTCCCGATTAATTAAAGGATACCGAACTGATGCCACCTCTGGTCCACACAGTGGATGCCAGCACTGTCCCGCCCAACCTTGCCACAGGCACTTTTGTTCATGGCATGGCAATCTGATATTTTTTTTATTCTCAAAGCTGGAATATAACCAAGTTAAGTACAGAACCACATTTAATGTGACGGTTTCTTGCCCAGTCATAGGTGGGTGACTGGGCTGAGGCCATCGACTCGCTGAACTTGAGAACTCGGTTTAATCACAGACGACTCGCCTGGATTCAAACCCAGGTCCCTCAGCGCTCTGACCTCTGAACCATTCGGCCACCTCTGCTGCGGAACAGCGCTGGGGATTGTTGATGTGAGGCTGCCATCTAACTGTGTGTCAAGTGATGAGATGAATAACCTTTTTGGTTTATGCTGCCGTGATGTGCTTGTCATGCATATCATTTGTGGAGCATGCTTGTATTTTTAATTTCGTTGCCTGTATCATATATACCTGGCTACCTGCCTGCTTTCTTGTATGTCTGTCTGTCTGTCTATATCTGTCTAGCCTTCTGTGTCCTTGTCTGCCCATCTATATGTATATTGTCATGCCTGTAAATCACTCTGCCTTCTGCCTATCTGCCTCCCATCCATCCACCTATCCATCCGTTTGTCCATCTGTTTAATTTTCCGCCTTGGTGTAGTTCTGCTTCATTGCCTATTTGGCATTCCCGTCTCTGCGTGTCTGTCCGTCTGTCGTTTTGGTCTCTCCCTGTATTTCCCCGTCTCTCTCTCTCTGTGCTACTCTCACCCCCATCCTCTGCCCTCCCTTCCCCTCCCCGCCCCTCCCCTCCCCTCCCCCATCCCGTCTCCCCATCGCCCCCTCGCGCAGTGGCGATGGTGTCGGCCACGTTCTCTCCGACCTCCATGAGTGCTCACAGCATCAGCTCGCTTCACCCGAGCAGCCTGGGCCGCGCGACGCTGCCCCTGGGCTCGCGCAGTGCCTCCGTACGTCGCCGCGCTCGCAAGAAGGACTACAAGAGCTCGCGTGAGACTCCCACGTCGCGGTTTGTGCTCTGTACCGGGCTCCTGTAATTAAAAGGTTTTGGGGGTCCTACGACCGTGCCTGACCCTTAGGAGGCTCGGCCGAGATGCGAGGCGGCGTGGCACAGACGTGTGAAGTGCTATGGAATTAATATTATAATTATAGTGATGATGGCAGTAATTGTGATGTTGCTAGTGGTATTGCGCTAGTGATGATGGATGTAATGAAGGTGGTGATGATGAAGCTGCTTCATAGCTCATCGAATTCAGATTTGGCCAACTCCAGCAGCACCCGCTGACGTTATTTCCGTCATTATTATTCTTCTGACTCGAAGCCCCTGCCACCCTCATCCGCCCCACCCCCCTTTTCCCAAGTTGTTAATTGTGACCCTCGTCTGTGGGAGGGTGTCTCTCGCTTTGTGCTACGGTCAGTCGCGGGAGGCGACGGCTCGCCTCGTTAGCGGCTGTCACGCTGGCCGGACTTGGCTGCGCATCAGCAAAGGCTCACCGCCCCCCCCCCCCCCCCCAATCATCCCCCACCCCCCAGTGTCTCTGGCGTCGAGCAGCCTGGGCCCCGGCGGGCAGGTGGTGCACGCGGAGGTGATGGAGGTGGTGCTGTACGGGGACGGCCTGGGCAGCCTCGGCGTTCAGCTGCAGGGCGGCGTCTTCAGCACCGAGGTGCTCAACCTGCCCCCCGTCGTCAGCTTCATCGAGCCCGACAGCCCCGCTGAGCGGTGAGGCACCGGGGGCCGGCGGCGTGCTGCGACACCGCGCGACGACACCGTGTGACACCACGCGGCAACGGCATGTCACACCGCGCGGCAACGCCGTGTGACACCGCGCGGAAATACCGTGTGATTCCACGCGACAGCACCGTGCGGTAACACTGCACGATGCGGACTAGGGCTTTGTCTTTTGAACCACCTTTGTCATCTGGGACCGCCACCTGTTAGGTCAGGGGTCGGCGAACCAACATAACAAAAAGAGGCTTTCTTTTTTCGAATTAGGAAAATTAAAAAAACTCAAAATTTCAGGAGCCGCAATGCGTGTGGTGAATACGAGACGGTGGTCCTTTATAAATAACGTCACGAAGCTCTCCTTAAAGAGCAGTGTGCGGCTGCGGAACCGCACGTTGCCGACCCCTGAGTTAGGTCAACCGGCCCATGCCCGCGTCTGTTTGACCTCTCGCGATGGGCTGTGGCCACTCAGGCATGGGGGGGTTATTCCAGTCTGCCATTGGCCGGGAAAATATTTCCGTGAGAAATGAGGCATCCGCAGACCATTGTGGCGGTTTCCGTTAGCCGGTGCCGACCTTAGGCCAGCACGGTGCAGGAGAGGGGGACGGTGTGGCCGGAACCACGCGGGGAACAATTTTGTCTCCAATAGAGGTTTTTTGGGTTTAGATCGCGTAAATATAAATGTGTCGTTAAACCCACCACCACCCGACACAGCCAATTAGTAAGGTTCGTCATGTCAACAGAAAATGACCAATTCGTTACTAGTACATCACACTGGTGTGTTGGAGAGTAAACCCACAACATTTACAATTCGAGTTCATTCGTCAGGTGGTGGCGGATTTAACGACACATTTTTATTCACGTGATCTAACCCAAAAATCTCTGTTATGGATTATATTTGTCGCAAAAGCCTACGTGTTAAACTGAATTTTGTCTCCCTAGCGCCGATGTTCACAGGCTGCGTCAGCTACTCAAATAATGTTGAGTTGACCTAGAGCAAGTGGAAGACCGGCGACAACAGCTGTTTGTGCCGCACGCTGCAGATGCGGGGTGCTGCAGATGGGAGATCGGTTGCTGGCCGTGGGCGGCGTCCCCACGGAGGAGGCCACGCTGGACGAGGTGCACCAGCTGCTACGGGAGGCCGCGGCCGGTGGCCGCACGCGCCTGCAGGTGGAGTTCGACGTCGCGGGTGAGCGCCGACCTTGTGGGGGGGGGGGGGTGGGGTTGTTTGGGGGGCGCTGCTGTGAACGCGCCAACGCCGGCGCCATGGGGTTTTACCGCCGGATTATCAGCGGTTAAAGTAATAAAGAAACATTTGGTCAGTGACACCGCCTTAACAAGAACGGTATATTATCGGTGAAGCTAGTAATGGTGTTAATGATGACGATATAAATAGTTGAATTTTTGCTGATGCATATATTGCGAATGGTGATGTTCGTGATGATGTCACACAGCTGCTGTTCCTGACTGCTTCCATAGATGATGATGATAAGGAAGTCGCTCATGGTAATGCCATGCAGAAGGACCGTTGCTCAGAACGTCATCAATTCTATAGATCGTTTATTTTGGACGGCTGTGTAATTTTGCTGTTATTGATGCTTGTGCAAGTGGTTTTTTGAGAAGGTGCCAGTCCACAACACATTTAGAGTAGCTATCTAGAGCTCCCTCCAGTGGAGGTGTGGAGGTCCTTCAGCCAGCAGTGGCGTGAGCAAGCAATTGCAGGGCTGCACCTTTACCTGCGTAACGGAATTCTAAATTCTGATTATTTACTGCCCTTTGTAATTCCACTGCTGGATGAAGTGCTCCCCATGACTTGTTTGTCCACGCTTCAACGTGTACCAGTCAGTGTTGGTGTGTTCAGATATCGCTCGCCACTGCTGTGGGCTGTGGTGGGAATTGAACTTCGATGCTCCATGTTCATGGCACACTGCGCTTCGATGAGTCAAGACGAACTCTTTTCAAATTATCTGTGAACAATGTCTGATGGAAACGGACTGATACTGAATATTTTTGTTTTCAAGATGTTATATTTATCTTTGTATGTATATTTTTATTGCATGGGTTTAGAGGGGTAATGACATGACGCGTGGGATAAATATTGAATGATGATGATGGTGTGGCCAGCATTAGTGAGCACACAGTCCGAGGCCTGTCCTTGACTCTTAAACACATCCTCAATTTGCACAACAATGCTCACTTTGTGTTTTTTCGCTTTTTTTGTCTTTTCAAACTATTGCAGCTGTGCTTATCAGCGTGTCGTGAGATGAAAAAATATCCACTTGGAACCATCACAGGAAGCAATTCATGCCACTTTGTTATAGAAATGCCCTCTGAAAAGTGATATCGGAGAATTGCCTCTGAAGCCCCTTCATGTGCCTCTTATCTATAATAAGGGCTCTGAATTTTCTCACATTTCGCTCCGCTATGGAGATGGATGTCTCATAGCATTGGAACTGATATCTTTTTAATTCCTCACGGTAGGAAATAACATTCTGATCTAATGAAAACCAAATTAAACATTAATGGATTTTTTTCTGCATTATTTCTTGTCTGGGCTGAGCCACCCAGTCTCACCCCTCTATCTATGGCCCTTGATATTATAATCTTCAGGCATTAGCATAAGCCCTACCTTAACCGCCACTCAGCACAACATATCTGATTAGCTGTTTCCTGTGAAACGCCATTTCTCAAGCCACAGCCTTCATGCCCCCTCCCACCCCCTCCACCACATCGGTGCAGCATTCTGCGTTTACCAATCTTCTTAATTAATTCAAGCGTGAACATGTTGCATGCGTGTACCACACCTGATGGTCGGTAACCGCACAAACACGTGTACCGCGGTTCGTCACGGTGCTTTAGACTGAAAGCTAATCTCTCCATCCCTCTTCCGACATTGATGTGTTTCAGGAATGCTTCGTAACACTTATCATAAACCTGTGCTCTCGATTGACGTACAGTGAGGGAAAAAGTATTTGATCCCCTGCTGATTTTGTATGTTTGCCCACTGACAAAGAAATGTTCAGTCTATAATTTTAATGGTAGGTTTATTTGAACAGTGAGAGACAGAATAACAACAAAAAATTCCAGAAAATCGCATGTCAAAAATGTTATGAATTGATTTGCATTTTAATAAGGGAAATAAGTATTTGACCCCTCTGCAAAACATGACTTAGTACTTGGTGGCAAAACCCCTTGTTGGCCATCACAGATGTCAGACGTTTCTTGTAGTTGGCCACCAGGTTTGCACACATCTCAGCAGGGATTTTGTCCCACTCCTCTTTACAGATCTTCTCCAAGTCATTAAGGTTTTGAGGCTGACGTTTGGCAACTCGAACCTTCAGCTCCCTCCACAGATTTTCTATGGGATTAAGGTCTGGAGACTGGCTAGGCCACTCCAGGACCTTAATGTGCTTCTTCTTGAGCCACTCCTTTGTTGCCTTGGCCGTGTGTTTTGGGCCATTGTCATGCTGGAATACCCATCCCCGACCCATTTTCAACGCCCTGGCTGAGGTAATGAGGTTCTCACCCAAGATTTGACGGTACATGGCCCCGTCCATCGTCCCTTTGATGCGGTGAAGTTATCCTGTCCCCTTAGAAGAAAAACACCCCGAAAGCATAATGTTTCCACCTCCATGTTTGACGGTGGGGATGGTGTTCTTGGGGTCATAGGCAGCATTCCTCCTCCTCCAAACACGGCGAGTTGAGTTGATGCCAAAGAGCTCCATTTTGGTATCATCTGACCACAACACTTTCACCCAGTTGTCCTCTGAATCATTCAAATGTTCATTGGCAAATTTCAGACGGGCATGTATATGTGCTTTCTTGAGCAGGGGGACCTTGCGAGCGCTGCAGCATTTCAGTCCTTCACGGCGTAGTGTGTTACCAATTGTTTTCTTGGTGACTATGGTCCCAGCTGCCTTGAGATCTTTGACAAGATCCTCCCGTGTAGCTCTGGGCTGATTCCTCACCGTTCTCATGATCATTGCAACTCCACGAGGTGAGATTTTGCATGGAGCCCCAGGCTGAGGGTGATTGACAGTTCTTTTCTGTTTCTTCCATTTGCGAATAATCGCACCAACTGTTGTCACCTTCTCACCAAGCTGCTTGGCAATGTGCTGTAGCCCATTCCAGCCTTGTGTAGGTCTGCAATCTTGCCGCTGACATCCTTGGAGAGCTCTTTGGTCTTGGCCATGGTGGAGAGTTTGGAATCTGATTGATTGATTACTTCTATGGACAGGTGCCTTTTATACAGGTAACAAGCTGAGATTAGGAGCACTTCCATTAAGAGTGTGCTCCTAATCTCAGCTCGTTACCTGTATCAAAGACACCTGGGAACCAGAAATCTTTCTGATTGAGCGGGGGTCAAATACTTATTTCCCTCATTAAAATGCAAATCAATTTATAACATTTTTGACATCTGTTTTTCTGGATTTTGTTGTTGTTATTCTGTCTCTCACTGTTCAATTGAACCTACCATTAAAATTATAGTCTGATAATTTCTTTGTCAGTGGGCAAACGTACAAAATTAGCAGGGGATCAAATACTTTTTTCCCTCACTGTACACTCCCAAGTCTTACTATAAGCATTTTCTTAAAGCCGTCCTCCCACACTGATCTGTCGCTCACAGTCTCCATTAGAGTTATGCACGTCGCAAGGCTCAGCATAAGCCATTACTCAAACACAAGCCTGCATGACACTTTTAAAAGTATTTTTTTGCAAATTGGACGCTCGAGCTTTCGTGTGCAATTAAAGCTTCAACAGAGGCACAATCTTAGCACGGTTGGCTATGTACGGCATGACAGAAGTTCAACATACATAGCTCCTGAATATGACCTCACCTTAAGACGCTGTACCGAAATGATGGGCGTCTTCTTAATGTCGAGAGAAACGGTTGCAGGCGGTGGCGAAAAACATAAACGAAAGGTCTTGGGGTTGGACATGAATAGGGGGCGGGGAAATCGACAGCACACAGGCGAATGGAGGAAGAGAGTTCCAGACAATGGGGGCAGCAGAGGAGAATGAGCAACTGCCTTCTGAGCACGTGGTCACCAATGTCACGTTTTCACGAGTGTGAGAAATCCGTGCTCGTTTTTTCGTACAAACGCTTGAAGAGCAATGCGGCTCCGTGGTCTCAACCCCTCCCACGCGTCCCCCTGTCCCCCCAAATCCTCCTTTCCCTCCAAAATTGCTTATTTGAAACAAATGCTAATATATGCTTGGGTTAGGTTAAGGAATGAAGAGGATTTATATATATATTGGAATATTTCACTGTGTAGGAAAACAAAAACCCCAACACGGCCCTGAAGAGTTTACTGGAGTGCGGCCCCCTGCCGGTTGCGCATCTGCGTTGGGCCCGTGCCGTCGCACCGTTTTTCGAGAGTGACCCGGGCTGCTGGGTTTTTACGCCTTCCATGGAAATGTGGGCCACGCAGACTTGCCTGGTTCGTGGACCCAGGCCGGCTTGCTTGATTGCTTTCTCAGTGGTCATGGAAAAGTCGGAAAACGGGTGGCGAGTCACTCGTGGCCACTCGCTGAACTTGAACTTCTTCTTGAACTTCTTTTGCGCTGTACGTGGCCAACCATACTAATCGCGGGGGAGAAGGAGCTGAGCCACCGTGACGCCGTCCATTAATCAGCTGTTCCGCTCGCCCAATGAATGCAGAGTCCGTCGTTCCCAGCAGCGGCACGTTCCACGTCAAATTGCCCAAGAGGAGAGGAGTGGAGCTGGGAATCACCATCAGCTGTAAGTCCGCATTGCCCCCCAAAGGCATCACGCCATTTGGCCAAAGGAGCGGCAATGAAAGCTCCACAAAATCAATTCCGCAAGCGGTAGTCTTATTGCAATTTGTGTTTTAGTCGATTGATCGAAGTTGCCAAACGATACGGCCATGAAAACATATATATAACGAGCAGAGTCGACGTTTATGCCTCCATGCGCGGAGCAAATATTACCCATTAGCATTCGTTAACTTTAACGAGAGTACCCATTAAGTGAACTCTGGATAGGGTCACTAGTGATTGATTGAACATTAAACAAACTCTATTAATTTAATTGAGACCCTTGTGCTGATACAGTTTATTTTCTACGTCTGAGCTGAATATTGAAGCTGGCCAAAGATTTGTGTTCAACGTCTGATCGCATCTCCTACATTTATTTAAATAAGATATGGATTACTTAGGATTTTACCAGCATTCTTGTCTGCAGTCATATACTAATGATAATAATTACAGCCCTTTAATAGTTCACTGCTGGATGAAGGCCTCAGTCATGGGGGTTGTTTGACCATACTTCACCTTACTACTGGTGGTCAGTGCCTGTTGGTGAAGAGCTCTGCTGGTTCTCGAACCAGTTCACATCCCACTCACCAGTGATTGTTAACTGTGGCAGGTCACTGGGTTCATAGCTCAGTGAAACATACCTGTCAACCCCTTATCAGTGCCCTACCTTATTACAGACCAATTCAGACCTTATTGGTCACCCCGTGCCCTTATAAATCTCAACGTTCATCCTAGAAAGTCCCATCGCAAGGGAGAAATGCAAACAAATAGACGCATTTTTTGTGCCCGTATTGAAACGGCTGTATGCCGTATGGATCTGAAAACTCAATTACCCTGTACAAGAATACGGGCTAAACCATATGGGTTGATAGGTATGGTGAACTCACCACGTTTGCCTCCATTGCGCCCAGATTTAATACATCATCAACAAATACGCGTTGGTATATTTGATGAGGATCAGGGAAGCAAAATCATGTTTTGAAGTAAGAACACCCCAATGTAGTTATGCAATTCATTTATATTTTTATTTACTTAATTTAAGTACTTGCCGTTTAAAGAACAGTGCTGAGAAACGCAATAATGTTTTTTACCGGCGTATGTGATTATTTACACATTTCAGGAGGGTTGTGGATGATGTTTGGCCATTTCCAATATAATGAGTGGCTTGCATTGATGGCAAACCCATAACGCCCAGAGACGCCCCATGGCATGGGGAGGTCCTTCATCCAGCAATGGATTGGCAAAAGGCAGTAACTGAAGATATTAATTTACTTGTACATCATTTCAAATGTGAGACCAGGGCTATGCCATTGGTGCCCGAAGATGATGGGCCTTCAAAACAAGCTGAACAAATGGCTGGTACAGTTTGAAACCTTTGGGTTTGACAGCAGCACGATGATGGTGGTGGGGGATGTTTTCACTCCTTGTGTATTGTCGGGGGGCCACACGTCAGGGACCTCACTAAATGCCACCACGGGCCTCACTAAATGCCACCAGGGGCCTCACTAAATGCCACCAGGGGCCTCACTAAATGCCACCAGGGGCCTCACTAAATGCCACCAGGGGCCTCACTAAATGCCACCAGGGGCCTCACTAAATGCCACCAGGGGCCTCACTAAATGCCACCAGGAGCCGCCTGTGCCCCCCCCACTTCCCCTGCGCGGGCCTTGCAATGAAGAACACCGATTTAAACGCCCTCATTCTCAAACATTTCGGCCGCTCCTCTAGTGCTTTGTCAACACTCAGCCGCTCTCCGCGCTAGGGCAGAGGAGAGAGGGGGTTGGGGCTTCAGTCCCTCGTACCCGTCTCACTCGTGGTGCTTGTGGTGATTTCTCAGCGCCGGCTTACCGCAAGGCAGGCGATCCACTCGTCATCTCCGACGTCAAGAAAGGCAGCGTTGCACATCGGTGAGCCCGTGGCTTAAGCCGCCGAGTGAATCGCTGCCCAGCCTAAGTGGGTCGGTAACGGTGAGGTTAAATTTGGATGTCTATAAGGGTTGGGTTTTTTTAGCATGCTGGGCCCAAAATGCCAAAATACCAAGCAGCTAGCAACAGACAACACTGTTGACGCAGCGATAGATAAGAGTCGATACGTTTCTTGAATTGAGTAAGATTAATTAAAACTTGGGAATAGCGACGATGGGAGGGAATCCCAAAGTCGGGCAGTGCGAGGGAAGAAGCAGGAAGAGAAGTGGGTCATATGCTTCGCCAGTCTGGTCTAAGCATATGTAAGCGAAGGGACAGGGTTTAGTATTATACCAAACTCTTGTCTATGCTGACGGGCACGGTTCATTGATAGACCAGGCTGTGTCTATGCTGAGGAACACGGTTGATCGTTGGACCAGGCTGTCTAAGACGTTGACCTCTGTGTGTCGCTCCCCCGTGAGGACGGGGACTCTGGAGCCGGGGGATCAGCTGCTGGCGATCGACGGCGTCCGTCTCGACCACTGCTCTATGGAGGACGCGGCTCACATCCTGCGGCAGGGGGATGAGCTCGTGAGACTGAAGATCCGCAAGGACGACGACAACTCAGGTCTCGGCTCGTCTCCGGGCGTGCATTGAGGATTTGTTTTACTTTGTATCACCCGTGTGTAATTGCTATGACAGAAAACTGAACGAAGCTTGGCCCATGATGTATGGGGTGAATAATAACGAAATTATTCAATGTTACATATGTATGTTGAACTTATATCGCACCGTATGTAGCCAACCGTGCGTATCGGAGGTGTGATTAATATAGATTAATATACAAAGCATTTGAGAATATATATGTATAAGTATGCCTGCATTTTAACATTTTTTAAAAAAACAAACATTTGGCATAAAAAAAAAAGTTATCTTGCTAGGTCCTCACGGCAAGGGCCTACAAAAACTTGCGTGGACCCGAAGGTACGGATCATCGAATGAACTCCCTTGGGGCGACTGCACCTCACCCCGTCGCTCCTCTCCTCCTCTCTCCCGCCGGCCGTGCAGACGAGCTGGAGGGCACGGGCGCCATCAGCTACACGGTGGAGCTGAAGCGCTACGGTGGGCCCCTCGGCATTACCATCTCCGGCACCGAGGAGCCCTTCGACCCCATCATCATCTCGGGCCTCACCTCCGGCGGCCTTGCCGAACGGTAGTTGCTGCCGCTCGGGGGGCCCCCCGCGGAGGTCGCGAGGGTGGTGCAGTAGCCGCAGCTGCTGAGGGGTGGTTTGTCCCTAGGTGCCAGGATCTGAGACGGTGGGCGTGGGGAGGGCGGGGAGGTACTCAGAAGGAGGGCCTCATCTGGCATTTTCCCACAGGTCCACCAGCCCTGGCGATGGTTCAAGCTCTGCTAGGGATGGGGAGACGAGGGCAGCGGTGCAAGGGAAATTGTGTTTGGTGAGGTGTTGGTGGTTCAGCCGATATATATATAGTGACTTTCTGAGCTGCTCCCTACTGGACATCTCTAAAAAATAGAGCTTCGTAGCTCATTGGATACCTCCAGTTTAAATAAAGATTCTGATTTCAAGCATCTTATAGAAATTGTTGATGGTTTCTGCAGTGTCTTCCAGCACAGATCGATGGGTGTTACAAATTCGTCTCAGTAACCGGAACTAAAAAGTTATTTCTCGAAATGCATGGCGTGTGAAATCTCACTGCAGCTGTGTCTCAACCTGCCACTCCATGTAACTTTGCTGTGTGTGCCTGCCTGTGTGTGTGTGTGTGTGCATCTGTGGGAAGCAGTAGTGTGTGAATCGGTCTTGGGCCCTCCCAAAGGAGTACCTGATGCAATGTTTTAACATCGTCACTGGGGAGACAAAGGCAACCGGGCATAGTAATGGCCAACCCCCACCCCCTCGTATGCTTTGGCGACCTTCACAGGTGCTCGCTAACAGCACTTGCTCAAAGAGTGTTCGACAAGGATGATTTGTCTTTGTGCCTGTGTCCGCACGAGATGGCCGTCCGTGTGCGCTCACGCGTGAGAGGAGTAAAAAAAATAAATCTTGAAAAATGCTGCAAATATCACTCGCGTGCCTTCTGAAACCCGCGCTGTGTCGCAGGACCGGAGCCATCCACATCGGAGACCAGATCCTGGCGATCAACGCCGTCGGCCTAAAGGGGAAGCCGCTGAGCGAGGCCATCCGCCTCTTGCAGACGGCGGGCGAGACCGTCACGCTGCGCATACGGAAGCTCGCCGAGCGTGAGTGCCCCCTCCCCCCCTCACGCCAATTCCAATTGTATCCCGATTGTGCAATCAGCGGGTGTCGTGTCACGAGGCGAAGTGCGGAATTCGTTCGGAGTGTGACCCTTCGTGTGAGAGAATCGTCTGCACACGGGGATAATTGTTCTTCACTTGGCAGTCAATCTCTCATTTCAGCCAAATGGAGTCCTTATGAAAACGTTATTATCACGTTTTTTTTTTTTATAATTTAGTGACCGGGCCGAGACCATCAACTCACTGCGCTTGAGAGAACCCGCTTGTAATCGGAGGCTAGCATCTAGATTCGAGCGCAGGGTGTCTCAGCGGTGCGGGGCTCAGCGCCGTGACCTCTGAGCCACGTGGCCAGCTCTCGTCTCAACCTCCGTCGTGAAGCGCGGCTCTGGCATCGCACGGGAGAGACCGCCTCGAGCAGGCCGCCAACTCTCCCGCCGATGCGCAGGCCCCTACCGCGCGCTGACGGGCGGCGCGGGCGCCCTGGCCGAGGGCAGCGACGGGGATGAAGAGGAGGACGAGGAGGAGGAGCTGGACAGCGTGCGACGCGCTGCCAAGATGGCCGAGCTGCTGAGCGCTGTGCCGAGCCTGGACAGCGCCACTGGCTCATGGGACGGCTCGGGCACGGACAGTGGATACGGCACGCAAGGTTGAAAATTTGTTTTTACTTTTTTCCACGTAAGGCCCACCGAGCTACAGTGAGGGGAAAAAAGTATTTGATCCCCTGCTGATTTTGTACGTTTGCCCACTGACAGAGAAATGATCAGTCTATAATTTTAATGGTAGGTTTATTTGAACAGTGAGAGACAGAATAACAACAACAAAATCCAGAAAAACGCATGTCAAAAATGTCATAAATTGATTTTCATTTTAATGAGGGAAATAAGTATTTGACCCCTCTGCAAAACATGACTTAGTACTTGGTGGCAAAACCCTTGTTGGCAATCACAGAGGTCAGACGTGTCTTGTAGTTGGCCACCAGGTTTCAACACATCTCAGGAGGGATTTTGTCCCACTCCTCTTTGCAGATCTTCTCCAAGTCATTAAGGTTTTGAGGCTGACGTTTGGCAACTCGAACCGTCAGCTCCCTCCACAGATTTTCTATGGGATTAAGGTCTGGAGACTGGCTAGGCCACTCCAGGACCTTAATGTGCTTCTTCTTGAGCCACTCCTTTGTTGCCTTGGCCGTGTGTTTGGGTCATTGTCATGCTGGAATACCCATCCACGACCCATTTTCAATGCCCTGGCTGAGGGAAGGAGGTTCTTACCCAAGATTTGACGGTACAAGGCCCCGTCCATCGTCCCTTTTATGCAGTGAAGTTGTCCTGTCCCCTTAGCGGAAAAAACACCCCCAAAGCATAATGTTTCCACCTCCATGTTTGACGGTGGGGATGGTGTTCTTTGGTTCTTTCAGTAAAGTCACGTAGAATGAGAATAAAATAAGAAATTAATAAAATAAAATAACACAATAAAATTATCACGACGTTTCGGCCACAACACAAGTGGCCTTCATCAGGTGAAGGGACGAGACTGTCTCGAGGACAGCGCTGGAGCGAACACAGCCAAGCTCTGACCGCGACCTTTAAGCTGTGTGAGAAGAAACAGAGTGCCTTGACAAAGGAATTAGCATAAAAATTAGCATTTAATTGGCGGACTTAGCAAGATGAACGTTGTAGAGGGGTGAACATGTGCAGACCGGCGAGGGGGGGAGGGGGAGTTTATATATTGATGGTGTGAAAAGGGAATTTAAGCTGCTGCGAAGTTTGGGATACCACTACTTGAAAAAATATACTGTACCATTGAAAATTAGTTTAATGTTTGGTTCGGATAATTTAGCATTGAAATAGCTGCTGGGGATGGTGTTCTTGGGGTTATAGGCAGCATTCCTCCTCCTCCAAGCACAGCGAGTTGAGTTGATGCCAAAGAGCTCCATTTTGGTCTCATTTGACCACAACACTTTCACCCAGTTGTCCTCTGACCTTGCGGGCGCTGCAGGATTCAGTCCTTCACGGCGTAGTGTGTTACCAATTGTTTTCTTGATGACTATGGTCCCAGCTGCCTTGACATCATTGACAAGATCCTCCCGTGTAGTTCTGGGCTGATTCCTCACCGTTTTCATGGTCATTGCAACTCCACGAGGTGAGATCTTGCATGGAGCCCCAGGCCGAGGGAGATTGACAGTTTTTTTGTGTTTCTTACATTTGCGAATAATCGCACCAACTGTTGTCACCTTCTTACCAAGCTGCTTGGCAATGGTCTTGGAGCCCATTCCAGGCTTGTGTAGGTCTACAATCTTGTCCCTGACATCTTTGGGGAGCTCTTTGGTCTTGGCCATGGTGGAGAGTTTTGAATCTGATTGATTGATTGCTTCTGTGGACAGGTGTCTTTTATACAGGTATCAAGCTGAGATTAGGAGCACTCCCTTTAAGAGTGTGCTCCTAATCTCAGCTCGTTACCTGTATAAAAGACACCTGGGAGCCAGAAATCTTTCTGATTGAGAGGGGGTCAAATACTTATTTCCCTCATTAAAATGCAAATCAATTTATAACATTTTTGACATGCGTTTTTCTGGATTTTTTGTTGTTATTATGTCTCTCACTGTTCAAATAAACCTACCATTACAATTATAGACTGATCATTTCTTTGTCAGTGGGCAAACGTACAAAATCAGCAGGGGATCAAATACTTTTTTCCCTCACTGTATATAGCTCTTTTTTCAGATGCAACCTGGCCACAAATGATCGGTGAACGAAGCTGCTTATCAACATGTGGAAATTTATAGCAGCCAAATGCTGTAATGCATGTTGACTAAATATAGAGGGAAAAACTGGAGGACCTGGAGAAAATTCCACGTGACTACGGGGAGGATGTGAAAACTCCAAATATACAATCATGGTCTGGATCAAACCCACGACTTCCTCAATACCTTTGCGTGGTAGTTAACATCTCGACACCGTGGTGAGGTGCGGCGCCGCGTCCTCCTGTCATGCGTTTCCCTCCGCCACGCGGCACGGGAGAGTTCTTCTGGAAAACCGCACTCTCCACGCCGATCGTTTCCATACGTGGTGATGCACCTTCTATTTAGCACAGTTGGCTACGTACCGTGCAAAATAAGTTCAACAGAGACAAACATCTCCCCCCTTATAGCCTCAACAGACTGTTGGGGCAAGTGCTGTGAGCGAGGAGCACCCTAAAGTTCAACATACATACATACATACAGACGCGTTGATCCTCTCCCCACGGTAAGATTGTGATGCCGCCCCTGATCGTTTCTCCCCGGGGGTCACCCCGCTCACTGCCCTTTCCCCCCTGAGACAGGGAACGGAGTTGGCTCCGCTCGGGGTCTGCTGCAGCACTCGGCCACGTGGAGAGACGCGAGGGACACGCGGGACGCGAGGGACGGGAAGGAAAACCGGGGACCTCAGTCCCCTGGTGGCAGCGGCGGCGGTGGCAGCGCGCGACCCCGGGGCTGTGAGAGGGCGCTCGGCGATGACGAGTGGGAGCGGCACACGTCCGGGTGGGTACACAGTGCGATGGGTCAACAACGGTCTGCCCTCACAGCCTCAACGTCATCGCCATCATCATTGCTGCCATCATTGGTAAACAGTGTGGTAATTTAAACCGGTTCAGAGTTCAGAATTGTTCGTAAATATTGGTCCAGACAGCCCAAAGTCTCATCAACTATTGCCTCTTCGTTCGTAATCGTTTCCTTGTTCTATTTACACAGACACATAAACAACGCAGACTCTTATTCTTAGCTCAACGCAGTCTCTGCCAGTCGTGTAGTATGGTTGACACGGGCCATGGTGTAAGGAATGAAATCGGTCGGTCCCGCGTCCACCTCCTCCATTCTTCGTAGCCCAGCTTCTGGGCCTCGCTAGTCCCACGTGGCAGGCTAAGCGCGCAACATTCCCGCTGCCATGACACGAATCAATATACAGCGGCCGTGCCCTGCAGATTGACCGGCAGCTGCGAGCGCTTGGACGGCGAGCGGGAGGACGCGTACTGGTCGCAAGCCCTGGAGGACCTGCAGACGTGCGGCCAGGCGGGGCTGCTGCGCGAGCTCGAGGTACCGATCGACGAGCATCTGACCCCCGACCCACGTGTCACCGTGCACTCGCCGGTCCGGTGCTCGCATCTTGATTCGTCAGTTGCCTCCAGCACGTAGCCGGCACTTGCAGAGAAGAGGTCGAGAGGTCATCGTGGCCACTGCCGTTGTTTCCCCCACACCTCACCGTTGCTTCCCTCTGTCTGCTGGAGCCCATTACTGTTGCAAAGCTGATATCAACGGACCTCCATGTATGTTGAACTTCTTTCGCACCGTACGTAGACAACCATCACATCATCACCAGCAGTGCTTAATTTTAAATAGAACAAGTCCATAACGCTGTTGCAGGAATTAATTTTGGCACGCCACATTTTATGAATATAGGGTGCACTAATTTAACATTATCATAGACAGGTACACCTTGCACTGGTGGCTAGTGCCTTATGTCGATCATCTCTACTCAAAGTCAGCCAAGCAGCGGTCCGGAAAATAAAGTGAGACATTTATCCCTGACCACCACCATTGCCATTTTAGATTTAGGCCTGCTAGTGTTTACGCATTTCCTGCTTAAACGACAATGGTTGTCTTTGCGAGTCAAAGCCGCCCCGATGCAGTCCTAATCCCCAACTTCAACCGCTCTAATTCAGAATTATTTGCGATGGTTTTTTTTCTTCTTTCCGTTGACCCGTTTTTTTTACGCGCTGTGGTTCCAACACCCAGGGCGAGGGAAACCGCGTAATTGTGGGACGGTCACGACGTGTGTGTGCCTTGTCTTTTTTTTTGCAGGACAAAGTGGGAAGCCTTTTGAACCGGCAGGCTCTGGCTTTCATGGTATCCGTCCTCAGCGAATATTTTCTTAGAATTGGCCCGCTTTGTTTCTCTTAAAGCAACACCGGCTTTTCGCTCGTCACCGCTTTCCTCTTCGGCCGCATGAATGTCACACTTTTTGACGAATTTTCTAACCTTGTCCATTCGGCTCGCTTGTTTATTCCCTTTCGAATGCTTACGTAAAAATACACTTAAATTTGCCCCCTCTTGCGAGTTGGTTTTTCAGCTGTAGAATGTGGTCGAGCCATTTTCGTCAAGGTAGGCCTCGTTTTTGACTGGACGGACCCAGTGGCATATAGAATTAGTGATTAGCTATGTACGGCCCATGACCTTTGCCTTATGTAAATAAATAAATAACTGTTGCCAACCTTTTTCACCATGACAATTATATGCAGATTTATAAATATATTAACTTTTCTCGTTACTCTTTTTTTGGGTTAGAGTGGAACAGTTTCATAAAAATGTTTATCAATCTGGATTACATAACGGGGACGTTGGGGACTTAATTAATAAAATCTGAGTTCCTGAAATGCTCTGATCAGGTGGCTTGGAGGAGTGATATTGTGTCAAACCATTGGGGGCCTTGGGGTTTAAATCCAGGCAGCCACCTGTGATTAAACCACGTGCTTGCGTGCAGTGAGCTGTTGTCCATAATCTCGTCTCCCAATTAACGTGGAACATTGGGCCAACGTTGGGCCAGCGTTTCACGTTTACTGGGCAGCAGTGACGATTAAACCAAAACAAAAATGGTGCAACGTTTTACGGATAAGATTTGCGACATCTTTTCGAGGCAATTTTCTGACACTTTGAGCGTCGCGAATTGATTCACCTGATGATCTGACACCAATATCAACATTTATTTTGGAGAAAAAAAACAAACAATTAAAATATACTCCCATATTGCTAAAATTATCACCAGAATCTAATTTTAATGAATCTCGTTGAGATTCGTCTGATGAGACACTCCATTCATTAACACAATGTTCTTCTTTCTTATGGATTCATGGCAGCAGATTAAATCTGTAATTTCAGATTTGTTATCCACTCAATTAACACATTGCCCTCACGATTGTGCCATCTGAAAATTTGCGCAAATGTAGAATGTTGTGTTACGTTGCGCTCAAGTATAAACATTTGTTGAATCATATACAGCCCTTTGTCAATCCACTGCTGGATTAAGTATTCCCTACATCGTCTCCAATGGGAGTTGTTTGACCATACTGCGCCTTCAATGTTAGTGAAGGGGGGCGTTACCCATAGCATATTCATACTTCACTCACCACTGACGTTCGCTTTGGCTGGGACTTGAACTCGGGTTGCTTGGTTTATTGCACAGTCCGCTAATCATTGCACCACCACTCTAGCTCCACGACCAGTGTGGTGAAGTATGGTCAAATAACACCAACCCCCCCCCCCCCCCATGATCGACACGGCATTTGATTGACAAAGGGCTGTCGCAAAATAGTTTAACACATGACCACGATTAAACACTTTAATCAGTTATTCGATTGTTCAAAAATGTTTGCTTGAGCAAGTTATGAAACATGATATATACGTGACTATTTAGCATCAAGTTGGACATTGTTTCAATGTAACCTGATTCCTTTGCAGAGGATCTGTGGCTGTGGATTAATCCATGCAGGCATAATATCAGCACCCATGTTAATCACCATTGTCACTGCACCTATTCTAACATCGGTAGCACAATTTGCACAATGTCTTGTCATAGGTGGCGGGTGAAAATGTTTTTTTTAGGTGGAGGAGCTGAAATATTTTTGAAAGATCAAATTTTAACGAATAAATATATGTTTTCGACACTCGGTGTCCAAAAATGAGAGGCTGCAAGGTTACCGTCTGGCAGAGCAAATGAGAGACTGGCACGAATTCACCCAACAGCGTCAGTCCACCACGTGCTCTACGAGTTTGAGAATGTTTCCCTCTTCTCGCCAAGCCCGGCTTTAAGAGGTTTATGTTTTTTACCGCGCAGGCGTGTGTTCTTAACGTAACAGCTGCTTAAATAGGTTTGAGGGGGCCCTAAGCCCTGTTTCGCAACAGCCAACACCCGCTGCCTATGCATCCTGTTAACGCCACATCCTCATGTGTGATGAATTAACCAGACACTGATGTACTTGACGGATTTTGTGAAAACGACTGTTAATGTAATGCAATTTTGTGATGTGTATTTGTGAGAATCACTAAGTCAAAATGTATCACGTGGGGAGATTATTTTGGTTGTAACCTAACTATGGGATTTACACAAATGCTTGCTTTTTCACCTAATTGGAAAATGTGACACCGTATTATGCATTATTCATAATAATTACAAAAAACCATGTGCTACTTACTGTATTTAATATGTGGAGATCCCATGCAAGACTAGAATATGATTGAGTTTGATTAGTTGCATCTTCCTTTATGTATAAAGCTACCAAACACCCTGGTTTGGCCAGGACAGTCCTGGTTTCAGAAAGGCTTTCCTGGTGTCCTGTAAGAATTTGCATAAATTGGGTTTTTTGTCCCAGCTTAAATAATGACTGACCTTATCGCTTAACTGAAAACAGAGGCAAAGAGCCAGGCTGCATGTGTAGTGATCGTGGCTGGCGGGGAAGTGGGTGGGGGGGGCGTGTGAGCAGCGGGCTGGCCCAACTTCAGACAGAGCGAGGCCACTCACTGTGCGAGCGGGGTAGTGACTGAGTTGTGGCTATGACATGGTCTTGCAGCTCACCATGTGACTCGGTTGAGCCTCCCAGAAACGTCTTATATATTTTTGTTCCACGCCAGTCGTGCAGTACGCGAGTTGCGCATGCGTGTTACATGCGTTGTTGGTTACACTTGCGTGTGTGCGCGTGCGCGTGTTGTCGCGACAGGCCAGCATCATGTCGGGCATGTCTCCACTCTACGCGAAACCAGACGACGATGACGAACCCTCGCCCGACGAGCCAGAGGCTCCGCGGCCGCGAGGGCGCACGGCCTGGCACGACGGCAACGGCGCTCGGCCACGAAAGGACGCGCACACGGGAGGCCTCACCTCCTGGGAGCTCAAGGAGTTCCAGCGCCAACTGAAAGACATCATGGCGCCAACACCCGTGGAAATACACAAGGTGGCTGCCCCCCCTGTGCCTGTCTCTAGCCCGGCATGGCTGAGCGGCAGCGCCTGTGCCGTTCGGCTCGTGGACGTTTCGGATATTTGTGTTGCGGCCGCCCTGGTTGATGCTGCGGGCATTTATATTAATGTCACTAGCCTTTCGCCCGTCCAAGGACGGGTGTATTGCAGTAAATCTGAAATTTAGAAGCGAAAAGCAGACCGCGACGTGATATTCGTTGCATTAATGCGCGTGCAGACCTATTTCAATTTCAAGTTATAATCCCTTTTTCATCATGACGTATTTCTTACTTTGTGTGACGTGAGGGTTCTGTCTTTGTAGTGAGGGTTGTAAGTTGACGCCGAGGAGGGGGGGGAGGAGGCACCTCGGCCCCCCCATGTGGAGTGACGTCCGCCGCTAATTATTATAAATGGGTGGTGGGTGTCCATTTGGAGGGCGTCACATTATTAATGAGGGGGGCTGTTCGATGTGGCGTTACGTCACCTGCTCATGATTTTTGATGGGGGGGGGAGGGTGCTCCATGTGGAGTGACATCACCTGTTCATGATTATTAATGAGGGGGGGGGGGTTCATGTGGAGGACGTGACCTGTTCATGATTATTAATGAGAGGGGCTGGTCGACGTGGAGTGACGTCACGAGCGTTGCACACAGACATTCTTGGCTCATAGTTGGTAATAATAATGGGGGCGGTGTCCATTTGGAGGACGTCACCTGCTCATGATTATTAATGAGGGGGGGGGGTGGGGGGGGTGTCCATTTGGAGGACGTCACCTGCTCATGAATATTAATGAGGGGGGCTTGTCGATGTGGAGTGACGTCACGAGCATTAAGGTCAGACATTCCTGGGTGATTATAGTAGGTATACCAGGGAGAAACACGCGGCGCGATGAACCACGTGCTCCCGAGTTCGATTCCTGGCCCCAGCTAACACCAAAGGCAAATGAAATCTAATCTGGTTCTAGGGACCCCCTCTAACAACCCGCAGTAGCCAATGTGGCGACGTATGGTCACGGGAAGGCCATCGTACAATAGTGGATTGACAAAGGTGCTGTTTGTTTAATTTAAAATGTGGTATACCTGTCCAGTCACCCAATTTAACCGATCATCGTTGTAGCTAAAGGGGTGCAGTTGTTGCATGGGCTGCTATCACAGATGGTGCTCTTGCTGTCGTGGGGCGCCATGGTGGCGAGATGTTAACTACCTCTCGTGGTATACAGCAGGTCGTGGGTTCGATCCCAACCCTGACACCCGCATATTTCCCTGTTCTCCCTGTGGTCATGTGGATTTTTCTCCGGGTCCTGCGGTTTTTCCCTCCACATTTATAATCAACAACGTGCGCTTAAGAGTATTTGGCTGCAATAAATGTCCACGCGATGAGCCACTTTGTTGAGCTATCATTTGCGATAGCCAGGTCGCTGCTGAAAAAGAGCTATGCAGCTCAAGTGGACTTTACTTGGTCAAATATAAAAATAGTTGAAATCGTCGAAATAGCAGGGGCTGCTATGGCAGATGGTGCTCTTGCTATAGCGGTTGCCCCGTCATCGCATGGGCTGCCGTGACAGGTGGTGCTGCACAAGGAGGAGGGTGAAGACTTTGGCTTCTCCGTGTCGGACGGGCTGGTGGAGCACGGCGTCTTCATCAACGCGGTGCGGCCCGGCGGCCCTGCTGAGTGCAGTGGCCTCCTGAGGACCTACGATCGCGTACTGCAGGTGTGGCAGACGGATAAAATGGAAAGATGACGGGCGGACGGACGGACGGATGGGCAGAAGAACAGATGAGCAGGGGAACTGATAGATGGATGGTTGGACAGGTGGACAGAAAGACAAACACGTGACAGTGAGACGGATGGAGAGATGGTTATAAAAATAGACAGATGGATGGATGGACAGACAAACAGTTGGAAGAATTGAGGGATGGACGAATGATTGGATAGACAGACGTATAAAAGTTGTGAGAATGGACAGACAGAGACATGGAAGGGCGGATGAATGGACAGATGTACGGATGAGCCCACACGCCCATCATCATTCACCCGCCATGCACCCGATCTTGTCAGATCTCATATACTAGGCAGAGTTGAACCTGGATCGTGTTTGGGTGCGTGACTGCTGTGCATAATATAACGGGTCGTAATATGGGCTGGGGGGGCCACGTGGTGGGCATCAGGGGGAAGTGCAGCAATATCCTTTGCTGTATAGTACATCTATGCTGCCATGTCTATGCTCCCCGCCCCCATCAACCCACACTGACCAGCACGGTGAAGTGTGGTCGAATAACCCTCACGACCAACTTCGTGGAGAGGCCCTCATCCAGCAGTGAATTGGAAAAAAAAGGGCTGTACGTAAACATACATCGTAAATCTGAATAGACCGATATATATTATTATGAATATTGAGCTCAGCAATTTCTTTGCATGGCTCAACCCCCCCGGGCGCTTTCAATTCCCCGCCCATCCCGGATCCCCCTTTGGCAGGTGAACGACATTCACACGCGGGACTATGACTGCTGCCTGCTGGTGCCGCTCATCGCCGAGTGTGGCGACACGCTGGAGGTGGTCGTCAGCCGAAACCCACTGCTGTCTCACCCTCCCCAGCAGCCGGCGCCGGCCCTCCCGGCCCTGCCGGCGCCGCCCAGCCCGCCGAGCCGCGTGCGCCCCGAGCAGCGGTCGCTGGAGTGGAGCGCGAAGGAGGGCGCCGCAGGCGGTGGCGATCGCCGCCGCCGCTGGGAGGAGAAGGCGGGGCCCATGAACTTGTGAGCTGTCGGGGGAGGAGGGCCGAGGGCCAAGCGGCGAGCAGCGTAGCCAGTGGGGCGTGCAGGCGGTGCGACCGCGGCACGGGGAGGGGTTGCGGGCTAGGGTTGCCATCTCTGAGGTACAACAAAAAACCAGGACGTATCCTTGACAGAAGAGAATATCTCATAATTCTGGAATAAAATGCATTGGGCTGACCGCTGAATGATTACGATCTGCAAAAAAAATGGAACTTTTGAATCTGGCCTAAAAAATCCAGATTTGCCTTAGACAGCTGCCTCAAAAAGAGGAGGATCCTGGGAAAACCAAGACAGGTGATAACCCTAACCGAGGTCCACAGGACGGAGGGGACCTGGGCGTTGGGCTGCGACTAGGAGCGAAATTGGACGTGAGCCCCCATTTAATTCATTCTTCCGGGGCCCATGCCAACTGAGCTACACCACTGATGAAGGCCCCTTTGCTAACTGGCCCACCAATCACCGTTGTGCATGACTCGTTGAGAAACTTTCGAGGAGACACCAGTGGTTCCGCGCCACCCCATCAGAGCCATAATTAAATGTCTTGCCCATCCCGATTTGGAGAGACACGGCTCAGCTTGCTGACCCCTTGACTGATGAGATTTCACAAGGCCAATTGGCATTGCTGTTGGGATGGATGCAAAAAAAAGCCAGTGGGTTTGATGATGTTGTTGGCCTTTGTGCATATTTTGTTCTCTGACAAAACGGAGCCTGCAGAGAATGGGTAAAAATTATATTAACATGTCATTCTTTATTTTTAGTGATGGCAATATGCAATAATGACCATATACAGACACCATGTAAACGGGTAGCCGTGCTAATTATTTTTAAGGGTGTCTGGGTGCACTGTTGTCCCTGGTGCAGGTTAGACATTGATGAGGCCCCACACCTCTGTAAGCATAACAACAGTTGGCTTTGGCAAGGCCAAGGCCTGGTGTTTACTATGGAACAGCACATTACAGAACCTCAATACCCGCAACTCTTTCATCCTCTCTCCAGGGGTAAAAATAAATTCGGCAAGGTTAACTTTTAGCGATGTACCATCATGCCCTGATTTATCATTGTATTTAGCAAGTTTTAGACAGATTTATTTCATTGATTTGAGATCAATAACTCAAGACTCATTAAGACTTTACTGTATAAAAATATTTCGAGTACGGTAATAATATTTAATGATTTGTTTAGATGATATTACTACTCAAGCACAAGCAGACCATCAGTGTTAAACCTTAATAGTTAGTGTATGCCCATTAATGTGTTGCTGTTAATGTGCATAACATATATTTTGGAGGGGGTGGGGAGGAATGTGTATTTGTTAAACTTATTTTTTTTTTACACTGCTTAGGCACTCAGTTTTTTTTCCTTTCCACCGTGGTTAGTTAACACAGACATGCATGTTGTCAGTAAATGCTGTCGACCCACGCATTTCTGGGTGCGAGAGCCACACAAACACAACAAGCCGCCAATGTAGTGGTGGCTTGTTATTTTATTTCATGTGCTCGATTCACGCTTGCACAATAATAACTTAACGAGGGAGGTGGGGGGGATATGAACCCACTACCCAGATGCCGCTGGGTTAATTTTCTACTTTCCTATGTACTTGGTTATAGGCCACTTGCCTTCATTAAAAGGATTGGATATTCTACATAAAAACAAAAAACATGTGTATGTTTGTTTACATTGTTAAGTACTCTATCATAATTAATTGTGATATAATCGTAGCTTTCAAATATCATGCTCGTCATATTTTTTGTAAGTCGTTATACCCTCGAACAATTTTGATGATGTGTTTTTGCGTTACGTTTCTGAGCAGAGATGTCTTATCTAAAAAAGATAGGAACAGTTTTTAAGTTGTCTTTCGTGCCACTAAATGTTATATGTGCCTTTTTTATAAACACACTTTGATGTGTATCAAACCCACTGCTGTACAGTAACATTAGCAGTATAAAATTATAACTGTGCATAAGTATATTCGTAGCATTTTAATTGAATGGTCATTTAGGAAGGGGTTTTGGGGGTGTGGGAAGGGCATACAAGTTGAATCTATTTAATATATTTCTTTACAAACAAAAATATTTATAAAGCATAGATTACTTAGCCAGTGAAACCACATATATGTTTGGTGCTGATGTTCAATTACCGGAACACAACAAAGAGTCATTATTTTGTAAAATGTGTTTCATTTTCCACGGATGTTCATGCTGTGGAAAAAAACGTCTTTGGGTGCAGCGGGAGAGATGTGATCACCTTGGGGGGGGAATTACCTGGCTTGAGTTGAACGTCCGGTCACGTGTCACTAAAAAAAAGTAACTATTTTTTATGCTACCAGTGTAAGGCCCACCGAGCTACATAGCTCTTTTTCAGAAGTGACCAGGCCACAAATAATACCTCAACGAAGTGGCTTATCACGTGGACATTTTTGGCAGCCAAATACTCTAAACGCGTGACGTTGATTTTTAAATATGGAGGGCAAAACCAGAGAACCCGGAGAAAAATCCACGCGACTGCTGAAAGAAATACACGCAAACTCCAAATATCCAGACGTCAGAGTCGGGACCGAACCCACGTCCAAGGCAAGGTAGTTAACGTCTCGTCACGTTTCCCCCGCCGTATAAGGCTCACATGCTCCTGCTTGTCCCATTTCTCAAACCCCCATATCCAGTCACCACCGCACTCCCATCCCAGGCATCCGTTTCTGCATTATTTTATTCAATCGTGGAGTCAATATTTTCGCGAGTTAATTAAACCCACTGTGCATTTTGAACAGATTCCTTTAATTAACTTCACTTTTATTTACCTATGAAAGTCCCACTGAATCTCAAGACTTTTTTTAGGAGAGTTCCAGCATCAAGATATTTGGCCAGTTGCATTAATCAGCTTGTGGGAGGAAACTGGAACTCCCAGATAAATGTGTTTGCATATAAGATGAAGCACTCAAAGCTCCACAAACAGGAATTTTATCTACTTTTTCTGTACGACCATATCCTGGTGACCTCGCAGCAGGTGGGCTTGTGGGGGGTTTCGACATCTTTGCGTGATCCACAAACCCTCGCTTCCAGAGTGAGTGCCAGATCAGGCGTGCAGCACTTCACCCCAGCTCTTCGTGGCTAGCAGTTTTGGGTTAGGAGTTGGGTTCGGTACTTGGTTCGTGTGCTCTACCCTCAAACTGCTTGCCCCCTCTTCCTTATTGGAGGGTATACCACCTTATCATTCATTTTAGACTGCTTAGAATTTATCCAGAGGCTTTTTGGGAGGTTTGATCGCGTCATTATAAATGTCGTTAAACCCGCCGCCACCAATTGGTAAAGTTTGTCACGTAAACGAAACATGCCAATTCATTACTGTGTTGGAGATTGAACCCACAACAGTTTACAATTCGAGTTGGTTCACTCTTCAACACACCGATGTGCTGAACCAGTAGCGAATTGACGTGTTTTGTTTACGTGACAAACCTTACCAATTGACTGTGTCGTGTGGTGGCGGGCTTAACGACACAGTTATATTTACGCGATCTAACGCGATCTAACACAAAAAAACCTCCTTTATGGATATTAGTCGCGAAAGCCTACTTACGTGTTAAACTGAGCTCGATAGCTCTCTTTCAGAAGCTACCTGGCCACAAAATAGCTCAAGGAAGTGGCTTTATCACGTGGAAATAATTTGTTGCTTCAAGTGCTTTTGACCCACACCGGGTCCCGACGATACCCCCCCCCCCCCAATCCCACCTCGTGTTGACGCTGCAGGCAACTTACTCGTGAGCGTTCCGTCTCTTTTTGAAGACGTTGAAGCCGGTGGTCACGTCCCGTTTCAACGTATACACACACACACAAACAATGCAGAGTGGAGCTGTTGCAAAAACTGGTGGTGGCACAACACACGCAGTTTTGTTTTTTTGTTCCCCCCGCCAATGTACTTATCACCTGCCTCGAGCTGATGGAAAGTCACGTTATTAAAGCAGGTGCAAGAAAAATATGAAGCTTCCGTGTCCTGGCGCAACAAGACGTTTTGTCAATAAGAGCGAGAGTTGACGTTCCCCGTGTTGGCACCACGATGAATATTGCATGCCAGAAACACGTGTTTATTGGTGCGTGGCCGTCGTGCCTGGTGAATTAATTTCAGCAAACGCGCAGGCTCTGGACCGGCTCTTGTGAATCTCACTGACAATCCTGCTTTGTCAATATTTGGAAGCAAAAAAAAATGTGATGTTGACGATAGGCAGTGATCGGATGAACACGCGTGTAATATACCATGGATTTTGCCTGTAAATTGTATGCATTTTACGGTTATTTCAATTATTTCTATCGCTATTATTTGCCTTAAAATATATTGTCATCATGTAAAAGCTTCGACTTATAAATATTTATCCGGATGTTTGACCGAAACGTGAGCGTATTTTTATATAAAACTTTACTTCTCCGACCCGTTACGGCTTATGCTTCACTGATTGGAGGCAGTTTGTCCACGAGTTTATGAATGTACGATGCCAGGCGCAAATTCCACACGCGTAGATTCGGCGTTTGAGGATTCCCGTGGCCACGGTCAGATATTTTTGTGATCAATGTTCTGAGCATGTAACCGAGACGCCACTTTTGTTAAGACCTTGTGTTTACATGCCGTGACTTCAGAAACGTCTTATAATAAACTTTCTGAAATTGGTACGCGGTTTGTTTTATTGCTATTCTGATGCTGTATCGTTAAACGCGCCGCATATTCCACTTGATTTTACAGTCAGATTATTTTTGCAACGGACATGTCCGTAAACTCCAACGGCTGATGGGATTCTAAGTCGGCAACCTCTTACAAGTGCGAAATATGCTTCTTTACTAATTGCTCGTTAACAATGTTGGTCAAATTTGAATATTAAAAACTTGTGAAAGATTGTTATCTAACAGGCTTGCATCCATTTATGGCCGTGAAAGGAATTTGAATTCGACGCTGTAATAACCTTACCGCATTATAGATTTCAATTGAAATGCAATTAAATATATTGACACAAATGTGTTCGTGGAAATGCAGAGCTCCCAAGTATTGACTTCATAACTATAGCATGCAGAATTCGTCACGTAAAAAAAAGTTTAACAGCTATTGAGCAATATACGGTACTGTTAAGTCACCACCTAGTGAAGAAACATAAATTGTAATCGTTATGATGGTAGTTCAATATAGGATGGCCAAGCAGACTAACAGGACACCGTGTATGGTTTGCGTTAACTAAACTAACCTACACAGAAAAGGATGGACCAGATGTTATCAGCCATAACGTTCAACAGAGCACGAGTTTATATTTTTATTAAATTCGATCACCAAAAACAGGTGTACAGGCATTTTACTGAGTTGCGAAGCTTTGTATACAAAAATATCTACATAAATAACTTGACAATTAACAGCTTCTTCAGTTGGGCAACTGATATTTAAGACTAGAGAATGGGGATTGGCAAATTCCAACAAAAAATGTCTGATGTTGATAGCCATATTTCCTCATGGCCATAAAATTAACTAGAACTGTTGACAAAAAATGGTTGGAAACGTCTAATTAAAAAGCACCGGCTGCATGTATTTTATTACAAAAATAATTTGCGTGTTCATCAATCCACTGCTGGAAGGCCTCCCAAACCACGTCGGTCATGAGGGTTATTTGGTCATACAGCACTGCGATGGCCAGTGCGGATTGGCGATGACCTGTTGTGGAAGGGAATTCAACTCCGGTTCAGAGGCGCACCAACCACTGCTCC